CAAGGTCGGGGTTTTTTCTTACTTGGGATGAAAGTAGAGCACAGGTGGACCAGTTTCCTGCTGCTAAATTTAAGAAATTTGCTACTGAAGATGAGGCCTGGGCCTTTGTTAAGAACTGTGGAAGCCCTGATGGTTCAGAAGGAAAGAAAAATGAGCATATGCGAGAATCTCAAGTGAAAGTCACTGGATGAAGAGGAAAATGAAAATGCAGAAACTTGTGTAAAGCATTTAAAACAAAATACAGACTCAGTCCCTTCAGTTGGTAAAGACAAATTTTCTTATATGGGAGAATTTGTGGTGGTTTACAACTGATGGCTGCTGCTCTACCAATGGACAGAAAAGGGCACAAGCAGGAACTGGTGTTTATTAGGGGCCAGGCCATCCTTTAAATGTAAGCATAGACCTTCTGGGCAACAGATAAAACAAAGAACAGAAATTCATGCAGCCTGCAAAGCCACTGAACAAGCAAAAACTCAAAACATAACTAAGTTGGTTCTATATACAGACAGCGTGTATAAATGGTATAAATAATTGGGCTAAAGGTTGGAAGGAAAATGGACGGAAAACAAGCACAGGGAAAGAGGTAATCAACAAGGAGGACTTTGTTGAGCTTGACAGACTTACCCAGGGCATGGATATTCAATGGATGCACATTCCTGGTCATTCGGGATTTAGAGGCAATGAAGAAGCTGATAGATTAGCAGGAGAAGGAGCTAAGCAATCTGCAGACTGACAGAAGTTATTTTTTAATTTGGAAACATGAATCAGTGGCTGTTTTGTTACACTTCCTTTTAGTATGGAAAATAAAACACTACAGGAGGGACTGTTGAAATATATGTGACAGGTACAATTTTTGAACTAAAAAAAAAAGGTCTGGTGCTATGCATACGCCATAGAACACACATACCCACACTCAGATGTGCATGAGGGCACAGTATTTGTGCAGACCCATTTCGAGGCTTTTATATCTTACCTGTGGCTCCTCCACTGGGCACCTGGGACTGGAACCAGACACTTACACTGCTGTGGAAGAGACAGTAAGTTAACATCCTAAAGGCCAGGGCAGGTCTAGATCAAGTACCAGGTGTTGTAGAAACAATGGTCAAGAATCCAGGCAGGACCTGGTCTGGAAAGTCAGCAATGGGGCAAGAGAGCATCTACTTAAGATACACAAAAGATGGGGGGCAGGGAGAGGGGTGCAACAATGAATGAACGGAATTCCAAAATCGCTGTAGATGTTCATTGAAATGAAAAATAAAGAAATTTTAAAAAAAAGATACACAAAAGACAATGTAGTGGAGGTGTAACCAGGGGCTGGCTGACATGGGGGGAGGGGAGGAATCCTAGTGGCTTTGGCACCCAGGTTGAGTCACAGACTATTTGCTTGACTTGGAATGTGACTCTTACCCTCCTTCTTCTGCCTCAACCACCAACAGTTCATAAATCCTGAAAATGGACTAGAAGATGCTGCCTTTGGAAAAAGTGCAGGGGTCAATATGTCTGAAATGTAGAGGTTTGTAATACCTGGGTACCTGATTTATTCATGTAGCTGAGATGGGAAAGCACTGGCCTGGAATTAAAGCTGGTCAGGGAAGGCTACCTGGAGGTAGAGTGCACTGCATGAGCAAACGTCTGTGGCAGGGGAGCTGGGAGCAGTGTCAGTCCAGAAAGAATGCAGTGTAGGGCCCTGGAGCTCAGAGAAGGGAAAAGGCTACTCAGTTCTGTGGCTGTTTGAAGGTCTGTCACAAAGGTCCAAAGGAGTGCTCCATACTTTGGTGATTCAGCCCAGCTGGGTAGGGGGCCGTGGACTCTTATCAAGATGGTGCAGGGATGGAGAGAGATGTCCATGGAGCAGGAACACAGCAGACAGAAGAGGGTAATGAGAAGAGTCTGTGGCAAAGAGAAACCCCAGTGAAGAGGGAAGCCTGACAACAGGAAGCAAAAAAGAGGAGAAATGGACAAAATGATATAAAAACAACTTTGTAATCATTTGTTAGGAAGCAAGATAGTCCAGCTCTGATGAAGATCATAAATGAAGTCTCTGACTGGCCCCACTGGAATAATTCTCTAAGAGGTCACCATCTTTTTCCTGTTGACATCTCCTTCTAATGAGACATGTCATCCTTCCATCTTGGCAGCCACCACTATTTTAGGAACATGGCAAGCTAGAACCAAACTTCCTTGCACTTGCTTTCTCAGCCCATCAGTGTGATAGGATAGTATAAGTTCAGGATTGTCCAAATATATGATATAGTTGTCAAACTGACATCATGAGCCTCCAGCCTGCAAGACTGGTCAGACCGTCTAATTTACATTTGTTTGGCCCTCAGACTCTGCTGTAACTTCTCTATAGTCAGAGTACCTTTACCAGGAGGGGAAATGCATCTTTCATTGAACTAGAATTTGTCTTTTCTCAGTCATTTGTAAACTGTACCCCAAGTTGTATGTTAATGAGAAATTGTATGTAACAGTCATAAAGCTGAGAGAGTGAAAGCAGAGAGGAGTGGGGGTAGCACAATTTGATGGGTGAAGGGGGTGTGTAAAGGAAGTGGTAAAGATCCAGTGTGAAAAACAATGTATACAAATTTTGTAAATAAACCAATATAAAATTTTTTTTAAAAAAAAAAGAATACTAAAGTTGTCTTTTTCTAAGCCATATGTGAACTGTACCTTAAGCTATCTGTTTACCAGGAGGGGAAATGCATCTTCCCTAAATTAGCATTTACCTTTTGAACAGTATTTTCTTGTTGTTGTTGTTATGTGCCTTCCAGTCGCTTGTACATAGTGACTCTATGTACATCTAGATCACATTAGTAACCACATGGAATCAGTTCTCTTTGAATGTAAAAAATCCTGTAGCTTTGAATTAGCCACAGTAATATGTTAAGCAGATTAACAGCTAACCCAAATACCAAGGACCACCCTTAGGAAAGCAGTTTTTGAGAGAATTCTCTCTGCTCTCCCAGATCTGCAATAAGAGCTTTGGATATTGCAATCTGTCCCTCTTATTGTCAATCGACTGTGGAAAGAACACTTTGTGTTCAGTAAGTGGGTCCCCCAGCCCCAGCCCTCAGTCTAGCTAGACCTCACTGGCTGCCACCTCTCCTGCTGTCCCGTCCTGAGAGTCTCATTAAGCAGTCCTGGGTCACTTCTCTTGTTCCTAGGATGATAGTCCTCTGAGGGGAAGATTCTACAAACAACTGGACCCTGTAAGTTTAATTTGTTTGACATTATTGTTGTTGTTATGTGCCAGCAAGATGGAACCAATTTATAGGTGTTCTTTCAGGGGTTTTTCAGAGGCAGTTAACTGTAAAGGATGAGAATTCCCACCTTTCTTCCATGGAGCACTTGGTAGATTTTAACCACCCACCATTGAGTTTGCAGCACAACCTTACCATAAGGCCACCTAAGAGTGGAGTAGATGGTTAACTGCTAACTGAAAGGTCAGAGGTTCAAACCCTTGGAATATTTACTTGGTCATTTACTTCCCCCCCCACACACACAAAAATCTACCATTGAAAACCTTACTGAGCACAGTTCTGCCATAACACATTTAGAGATGCCAAGGAGAGAAGTCAGCTCACCAGCAAATGGTACTAGCTCTAACAAAGGAAGGGTAAGAATAAGAGCCAAGGGAGAGTAGTGTGAGGCTCACAGAATAAATGAACTCAAGCCAAAATGCTCTCAAGTCTCCAAGCTCCACTGCAATGGTTTATTGTGACCTTGTGGCAGAATCCACAATGCAAACCCAATGTAATCCACTGGAGCCAAGTCCCCAGTTCCCAACGCTGATGAAAACTCATCATCATCATCAACGCTCCAGAAAAACTCAACCCCATTTCTCCAGATTACATCTCCTTGGGTCACTACTCTGAAGACACAAACAAAATTCCACCCTATTCTAAATTCTAAAAGGAGGACACAAGTTTTGATATTTTAGAAGAATATATACAAAAATAGTTAAACTACAATGTTTTTACTACCTAAATTATACACTAGCTACATAATATACAAATTGGAAATTTGTGAGTTTCCTGCAAAAAAAAAAATTTAAAAGAAATAACAACCTCAGTGTAGGTTCTTAGAAGAAAACTATATTCTTTTAAAGAAAATGAAAATATTCTCAAAGGCAAAACTTAATTTAAGTCAAATTATACCCTTTTTGTTGTAGAGTCAGATACACAGTGTGCATGTACAGGTGTTTCCCCCTGAAGCCCAGGCAAGGTGCCCTCTTGTGGTCCCTTTTGATGGGAGACCTGTGCCTGGAATTATGGACAAGGAGGTCCTTTTCTGGTGAAGGATGGAGAAGGGAGGAAGGAAGCCAGCCCGCAGTGAGGACAAAGGGGTGGAAATTGTGGCTGAAAAGAACCTTTCAAGTCACCATGGCCAAATCTCACAGTGTTGATGGCCAGAGGCAGGACCCAGACTTTGCAGATGCTGCTACCCGCCCCACCCAAAAAAGACATTCTTCCCACCCACCAGCAGGTAAGGCACTTAGGAAATACACAAACACATTTGTACTCTATCAACTTCCACCTTCCAAACTACACCCCATCCCAGGAAACGTTCTTGGAGGGGGTCTCAACCCCTCCTCAACAAGGCAAACTGACTCCAGACTGGAAGCAGTGTACTGCAGGCCATTGAACCCCAGAACCCCTGGAAAGGCCTCTGAGCACAAGGGATCCCCAAAGAGAAAGCCAGTGGTGGGGTGGAGTGGGAGCAGACAGAGCCTGGGGACAGGCAGCCTAAGGAGGCACAGATGGTGCATAAATACAAGTGGGGGTGCTGCGGGGCCAGCCCAGAGGACAGGGGCTCAGTGGGAAGGAGGGGATGTGATGGATATAAGCACGCAGGACAGCCTAGCTTACCCTGACATGATGCCCCCAAACCAGACAGACTCACACACATGTACACACACACTCACGTGTGCACGCACACACACACACACACACACACATACACATACACATACACCCCTGGGTCAGGCTCTGAGCCCCTACTCAGAGCTCTGTGACATGCATGGCAGGCGATGGAAGCGGGCCAGCCTGGAGACGCCGCAGGTGGCAGCAACGGCACAACAGGTGACCCTCAAGCGGATAGCAGCGGTGTCCGTCCTCGCCACTCAGCTGCAGCCCGCAGTCCTGTGGAAGACACAGCACCAAATTCAGAGTAAGGCAGGTCCTGTTGTTGCTGTGTGCTGTCAAGTCAGAGCTGACTCACAGGTGACCCTCCTGGGTCACAGCTCCTGGCTGTAAGCCATCTTCCCTCAGAGCAACTGGAGGATTCAAACCACCTGCCTTTTGGTTGGCAGTGCAACTTCTTACCACCACTGGTCCTTGATTAAGGCAGGGATCCAGTGGCCTATTCAGACATGTCAAAAGTGGTGGGTGATTTCACAACAGTCAAAGATGAGGGGGAGGATCAGAAGCCCAGGGTTTGGATATATGTGTTACAGAGGACATCCCAGAGGAGACTCTGGCAAGTTGTTAAACTGTGTTATAAACTGTATCCTAAAAAATACTGTTACCATGGCTAGGCTGTAATTCTCAATATGTGTAATTATCTTCCCTTCGGTGGTCTGGTAGAATTATCTATGTATTATAAATCCTAATCAAGGATGCTTTCGGCAGAATGTTAAATGATTCCGGAAGTATTAAAAGAAGATGGAAGGAATATACTGAGTCACTGTATCGAAAGGAATTGGAAGACACAGAAGAATTTCACGAAACAACATATGAGCAAGAGCCTATGGTGATGAAAGAAGTTCACGCTGCTTTGAAGGAAATGGCAAAAACTAAGGCTTCAGGAATAGATGGTATACCAATTGACATATTTCAGTTAACAGATGCTGCCCTGGACGTGTTCACAAGTTGTGCCAAGAAATCGGGAGAATGACCACTTGGCCAACTGATTGGAAGAGATCGATATTTGTTCCTATCCCAAAGAAAGGTGACCCAACAGAATGTGGAAATTACAGAACAATCTCACTGATTTCACATGCAAGCAAGATTTGACTGAAGATTATCCAAAAACGACTGGAATAGCACATCAACAGAGAACTACCAGAAGTCCAGGCTGGGTTTAGAAGGGGTCGTGGTACTAGAGATACTGTAGCTGATGTTAGATGGATCTTGGCTGAAAGCAGGGAATACTAGAGGAATGTCTATCTGTGTTTCATTGACTATGCAAAGGCATTTGACTGTGTAGATCATAACAAACTATGGCTGACCCTGAAAAGAATGAGAATCCCAGAACACTTGATCATTCTAATGTGAAACTTATACTTGGACCAGGAGGCAGTCGTCAGAACAGAGCAAGGGAACACTGCATGGTTCAAAATTGGGAAGGGCATACGCCAGGGATGCATCCTATCTCCATACCTTTTCAACCTATATGCAGAACAGATTATCCGGGAGGCTGGGCTCTATGAGGAGAAATGTGGGGTCAAGATTGGTGGATGATTTATCAACAACCTGCGTTATGCGGATGACACAACCCTGCTTGCTGAAACTGAAGAGGACCTGAAGCGCCTGCTGCAGAGTGTCAAGGACTGCAGCCTCCAATATGGATTGAGGCTCAATGTCAAGAAGACAAAGATTCTCACCACTGGACCAATCGGCAGCATCAGGATGGATGGTGAGGAGATTGAGATTGTACACAGCTTTAGTTTGCTTGGCTCAGTAGTCAACAGTCTTGGTACCAGCAGCCAGGAAATTAAAAGGCGCATTGCCATGGGAAAGTCTGCTGTTAGGGACCTCTCCAAAATACTGAAGAGCAATGGTGTCTCTCTGGAGACTAAGGTGCGTCTGATACAGGCTATGGTCTTCACAATCACTTGTTCTGCATCAGAGAGTTGGACAATGACCAAGGAGTATAGAAGGAGAACTGATGCCTTTGAGCTGTGGTGCTGGAGAAGAGTACTGAGAATACCATGGACTGCTAGGAAAACAAACAGATTTGTCCTGGAAAGGGTTAAACTGGGTGGCTGCTTGGAGTCAAGGATTCTGAGGCTCCGTCTAACATACTTTGGACATGTTGTGAGGAGAGACCGGTCCTTGGAAAGGGACATCATGCTTGGGAGGGTGGAGGGCCAGCGCAGGAGAGGAAGGCCCTCTATGAGGTGGATTGATTCAGTGACTGGGATAATTGGGATGGGAGTGTCAGAGACAGTGCAATTGGCACAGGACAGAGCGGAGTTTAGGGCTGTTGTACATAGGGTCGCTATGAGTCACAAGCGACTTGACGGCACATAACAACAACAACAACAATCTCCAAGATGTTAATTGGATAGAATTACTGAAGATCGTTAGTGAGGCAATATTCAATCTAAGTAACTAAGTAAATACAATGTAACTAAATTACATCTTTAATCTTTATTTTTCCCCCCAAGATATAAAAGAGATTAAACAAGTGAGCAAAGTTCAAAGACATCTAGAACCACCCACCAATAAAGAAGAGTGAGACGTAGAGCACATCTTTGGAACCAGGATTCCTGCTTTTTTATTTATTTATTTATTTTTTATTTTTGTGTGTGTGTGTACCATCAAATCAGATCTGACTGGTACAGGAGGAGATTGTCCTTCCTTTCCCGGCAGAGCATCTGGTGGATCCGAACCATGAGCCTCTGGGATTGTAGTTGCAACTCCTTGCCACTAGGCCACCAGAGCTCCCCTGATTTCTGCTTTTTTTAAAACCCAGGGCAAGTCTGATACAGAGGCACATGAAGATCCACAAGGATTCAGCACAGATGCTGAAAGGAAGTTAAAACCTTCCCCTAGCCCTGACAGCCTGCACTCTGAATACAGACTTCTAGCCTCCTTAGCTGTCAGAGAATAAATCTGTTCGAGCCATCTACTTGAGTTAAATAGTCTGTTAAAGTAGCACTAGATATCTAAGTCGTAGGTGAACATGCATCTTGAAGTTGGACAATGATTAAGGATGACAGAAGAAGAATCGGTGTCTTTGAGTTGTAATGCTGGAGAAGAGCTCTGAATATCCCAGACTGCCAAAAGAACAAGTCTGTGTTGGAGGAAGTGCATCTTGGGTGCTCCTCAGAGGCAAGGAAGATGAAACTTCACCTCATATAGTCTGGGCACATTGTGAGAAGGGGCCAGTACTTGTAAAAAGACACAGTGCTTGTAAAGGTGGAGAGTCAGAGAGAGAGGAAGACCCTCAACAAGATGGACTGACACAGTGACTGTAACAGTGGACTCGAGCATATGAGAGATGGTTTAGGATAAACCCAGGTTCAGATCTGTTGTTAACAGGGGCACTATGACTTGTAGTCAACTCAGGGGCACTTAATAACAACAGCTGAACATAAATCTAAATGTGCAGAGCGAAGAGGCACATGTAGATGTCAACACAGTGGGAGCTTTGAAAGACAGCAGACTACTACATTTCTCAGGGCCCAAATGCAACTGAAAATGAGGAAAGCCTTTGAGAGTTTGTCAGACATTAAGAGATGGAACAAGGAGGATGAGAAATGGAGAAGTAAGGAGAAATGAAAGTTAAGAAAATCAAAGCTGGGTTGTCCTCCAGGCAAAGTGAAGAACATGTTACAGGTCAGCTTGTTGGAAAGTTCTGAGTGGACAGGAAGGTAATAAATGAGAAGGAACACATTCTGCCAGAGGGGGTGCAGTGGACATGGCAAGTGGTGGGACAGACATCTGATCAGATGAGACCTTTAATGATAATGGGAAAAGCTAAGTGGAGACTTCAAGTATGCAAGGAGTTTTGACTTCTGTCCCTTATCCTGCCATTTTATCACTGTATTTTTTTTATTAGTTTATTTTCAGTTTAACAGGGTTTTTTTAAAATCCTTATTTGACCTCTGTAAATAACTGACAGACAATATGAAGGACATTCTGGACCAGCAGGACGACCTTCTCCCATCCTTGGGATGCCTCCTGATGTGCCCCCAGGGTGGCTGTTTAATCACCTTCCCTGCATCCACAGGTAAACCCCACCTTGAAGAGCTAGAACTTGTGGCCAGAAGCCTCTGAGGTCTACTGACCTACTCCATCTATCATGAGAACAGAACTGTTTTATTGTCCATTACATCCTCAGTACCCACACTCTGAAAATGCTCAGTATATATTTGAATGAATGAAAAACAGGGAGATGGAAAAGGGCTCATTAGGGCAGAATGAAGGAAAAGAAGAGACCCACAGAATTCCTAGAAGGAAACTTGTGTGGAAGGGGGTTTCCCTGGGCACCCACCTTCCAGGAGGGCCTCTGCTCACCTCACAGTGGTAGCATTCCACATGGTAGTCTCTGTCCATGGATACTACTCGAATGGTTGTCTCGCAGCCCTGGAGAGAGAGACAGTGTTTGCTAGGGCTTGAGGTGACATCCCTGTAGGAAAGCCCATTTCTGGTCCTGCACATAAGTCTGGTGCAAAATTAGCATACAAAGGACAACCCAGTGGCACTTGGGTGTCTCCCTTCGGCTTTTCCACAAACTGCAGCCTGCACAGCTGACCAGACCAAGGGAGCAGACCTTATGTCAATGGAGAATGGAGCTGAGAGCAAAAATGGGTCAGCCAAGCATCAGGGGCCCTCACTCCCTCTTACTTCTGCCAGGCAACACCCACATCTGAGTGCATGGACACAAAACACACCCCTGCAAGCCCAAGGTATATGGAGAGAACACCTGCTCTTCTCTCTCACTCAGATACACACCTGGGCAGATCCAGGCAGCACTGGGCAGATGCCAGGCTGGACCAGATACCTGGACATCTCCAGGTGAAAGATTCCTACCTGTGCTGGGAGGATGGGACGGGCACAGGAGGCACATTTTGGTGCAAATACCCTAGAGAAATAAAGGAAACCATAAATCCCTAGCTGAGTGATCAGAGAACAAGCCCCACAAAATTCTCTGAGCATCAAGCGTTCTTCTACTGGAGTCATGCCTGCTTAGCACTGGCCTCTCATACCCTTCATCAGTTCACCTCCACCTCATCACCTTTTCCAGGAAGGCCTGAAGCTCTGCTCTGTCACCTCCCTTATCCCCTCTGTGAGTCTCCTATCATCTAATGGGGACTCTGCAGAGCCTAGTTCCACCCTCAGTACCAGAACCTACACCCTGGCACCAACTCCATGCAAACATCCAGAGCTCTGATGGATGGGCCTGGAGCTACAACAAGGGGAATGGTTTGCCTATCCACATGGATGGCAGGCAGAAGGTTCAGCTGAGACCCCAAACCTTCATCCCAGCTGGCAGAGGCCTGGCCTGGCTCTGGCAGCAAAAGGATGATTGGTGACAGAGCAGCTAGTAGAGTCCCCATTCCTAGCAGAAGAGCGGGGAGAGGGAAGAGACGGACAGGGGCTGGACCACCTGAGAAAGCTCTCAATGCAAAGAAACATAAAAAAAAGGAGACTGGTCATGCCTCCATTTATAGTCTAAGAAAAGACCAAGAACAAAAGAATAGAGGCAGGCAAGATGGCCAGGAAAAACAGGAGGTCAAGTGGTCCAAGAAGGTCCTGTGTGCTCTGCAGCCAGGCACTTACGTGTGATAATCCCTGACACAGTAGATGTTGTTCTCCATGTCCACGGTGAAGGGCACGCCATCCAGGCACTCATTACACACGGAGCACCGGAAGCAGCCTGGATGGTAGGTCTTCCCGAGAGCCTGGAGAATCTGAGGGTGGGAGGCACTGAGGGGTCAATGCAGGGCAGGAGGCTCAGCGCAGTCCCTGGAGGAGGTCCTGGTCTGAGCCCCTGGCAGGTCTGGAGCAGGTGAAATGATGGCGTCCTAGGACCCCACCCAGCTGAGAGGGGCAGGGGCTCCATGACTCTAGCAGGGAGGATCTCACCATCTCCATGATGAGATGTCCACACACGCTACACTTGTCCGCCGTTTGCTGGAACCCGGAGTACTAGAGGAAGACAGAAGATCCAGGATGGGAGGTGAAAAAGGGGGACTGCTTTTCCTGACAAGCCCTGCCTCCCGCCTCTCTCATGGCACAAGCCATGGGCACAGCTTTAACTCACCAGGAAGTCCTCCTGGCAGTACACTTTCTCACCCACGTTGTAGAAGGCCTTCCCTCGAAGTCGTCTCCCTGAAAGATGGAAATCAAGATTGGGGGTTAGTAGGCTGCTGGAGACCAGCAGTTCCTTGCTTCCACCTCTCAACACTTTTCTCCCTCTGATGAACAAGTGAATTTTCACACTTCATCAAGGAAGAAATTCAGATGTCAAACACACACATGAAGAAGTGTTCAAAATTTCTAGCTATCAGAAAGATGCAAATTAAAACAGCAATGAGATATCATCTCACCCCAGCAACAATGGCAAAATTCAACAGGGCAGGAAGTAACAAATGCTGGTGAGGTTGTGAAAGAAGAGTTATGGTGCAACCACTACAGAAGGCAGTTTGTTACTTTCTCAAACAGTCAGAAAGAGAAATACCATTTGACCCAGCTATCCTATTACTGGAAACATACCCTAAAGAAACGAGAGCTGTGATGCAGACAGATATATGTTTGCTGCAACATTATTCCCCACAGTGAAGCACTTAAAGCAGCCCAAGTGCCCATCAACAAATAAATGGATAGAAAAATTGTGATGCATTCACAAATGGAATATTACACAGCACCGAAAAATGATTTTTTTAAAAAATTTTAATTATTATTTTGCATGTGTGTACTGTCAAATCGGATCTGACTGATACAGGAGGAGATTGCCCGTCTCTCTTCAGCAGAGCATCTGGTGGATTTGAACTGTGTACCTCTGGGATTGCAGTGCAGCTTCTTGCCATTAGGCCACGAGAGCTCCCCGAAAAATGAATTTTTAAAACACTACATAACATGGATGACTCTGGAAGACATTATGTTGAGTGAAATATCTCCATCACAAAAGGAAAAATACTTCATAGGAGAACTGTTATAAAAAGAGCATAGACGTGGGGAAAGAGGAGAGTAAGGAAAGAATGGCAAGACAATGAACATGCACTGGGGTGGGAGCAGGGAGGGAATGGAATGTATGTATGCCAGCTGACAATCTAAAACAAGACATCCATCACACAGCAAACTGCAGGGAGAAGAGGGAGGAAAATGTGTGTCAATGAATGAATGAAAACTCA